AAAAGGGGGACGGGACTGTTTGGGGGGGGGGGGGGCAGCTAAAGATAGCCTGGTGCCAGGGAGATGATAGGGAAAGTGCGTCCCTGGGGCTTAGGCCGGCAGCTGGGCTTTCCCAGCCTTAGGGCTATTCTAGGAACTGTACAATAGTTCAGGACAGTTAGATTGGTCTAAGAATGGTGAACCGGATCTTAGTTGGATTACCTTGGAAGCAGGGTTAACTTGGATCGAGTCAGCCATTTTTAGATGGATCTAACTTTCTGGGAACTTCTCTACAGTTTGCACTTAGATTGACTTAGCTAATGTAAGGTCTGCACCTGGGTGAACTAAGTTAGATCGGGTGGCCATTTTTAATGTGATCTAGCCTTTCCCTAACCTCCCTGAATATCTGTACCTGGCCTCAACGTATAAAGGAGTAGAGAGAGGAAGTCACATTTTCTTGCACAAGCGCTGAACTGAAATTACAATCTAGCCTTAAATGTTCACAAATGCAAACCACCTTTCGTGCCTTGATAAAGAGGTCTCTGAAGGTTTTCATCGTGTTAAATACATCTTCCAGTGATAACATGTTTCTGTCTTCGCAGAGGTAATCAGCAAGTTCTGCCTTCTTCTTTTCAATGGTGGCAATCTCCTCCTCCAGTTCTTTTGAAGCTTTTATACTGTCCTGAGACACATTTACAAAACACAATTTATTCAAGTCAAGAAGGGAAATAATCTCTTACCCAGAGGACAAGTTAGTGAACAGATTAGAGCAAGGTTTTTTTTTGTCCGTTTTGTTTTTTTGAAAAACTGAAATAGAATTCCAATAAATTTCTTGCTTTGAAAACACAGTAATTTAGGTACAGTTAAAACTGAGTATGCAATATGATATTCTCCATATTGTTCTAGCAGGCATACAATTTTCCCCAGCAGAGTTCATGGGAACGTGACTCCCTTCCTGACTTTAATTAATGACAACTTTGCTTCTAGAACTTTTTTTCAAAACATGAAATGCTAAACTCTGAAAAATGATGCAATGGTGTATTGTTTACCTTGGGAATATATCCGTATATATTACACGTGCAGGTAAAGGCATGATGGGATCAAATATGCGATTCATACAATCACACCTCCTGCCATGCCACACATGCATGGCAGGAGACATGATTATGGGATTGCATGTTAGATCCCATTATACCTTATTGCTGAGGCAGGGGAACCCCAATCCCCATCTCCCCCTACAGTGGCAAGAAGCTCCTATGGCTGGGAGCCCCTCACGTCGCAGTTGAGGGGTTCCCAGCTGCAGGGGGCTCCATACCCTTCCCCCCACCCCAGAGTAGGGGGTTTGCCATTGTGGCGATTCTCTTACCTGGGGATTTCATGCACCCCCAGGATGAGGGGAATTGTGCCCGGGGTGATCCTCCTGCCCAGGGGTTTCATGCAGAGGGGTGATTCTCTTGCCCTGGAGGTTTCAGCTACAGGATGCTGATGGGACCCAGAGTTCATAGCTGCTGGGGCTGAGTCCCTAGCAGTTGTGGGACTCTAAACCCTGGCTGGGCAAGGTACACCCCTGTGACTAGGACCTCTGTCAGCTGGTGGGTTCAATAGCAAATTAAAGCTTGATTGCAACTGGCTATAAAGTCAGTACACATTTTCAAGGTCTAATTTTACAGCCGGTTGGAGTTTTTTGTTGTGTGATAAGTACTTTGCATGTGGTCTCAAGGTAATTGCACCGTAAACCAGGTAATTGCATGATACCAGTAATGTGTAGAGGAGGCCAAAGCATTTAGATCTGTTTAACCTGCTCCTACTTTCTATTTAACTATTTCAGGTTAAACAGTCCAGGACTGGACCTGTAATGATCAATGATTAAAAACATATGCAAAAATATTGCTGTTGCTATTGCTTCCAGAAGGTGAACAGTTTTTTAAAATTAAGTGTGCCACTTTCATTTTTAACCAATATTCCCTTAATAATATATTATTTTTTCCATATTACTATGGTATCCTACATGTATAACAGACAATCTGTTCAATTCCTGTCTTGCCACCTGCTTCTCTGTTAAAGAAACTGGGGGGAAAAAAGCCATTTTTTGGACCTCCCCCCCACTCTGTCTTTAGACCCATTTGTGACCTGAGCTCTGATGCCACAAGTTTAAAACTATTCTGGAAGAGGGAAGTGTAGGATTTATCAGACCCATGCCACTTACCTGAATAGATTTTCCATATTGCACTTTCAAATCATCCCCTGATGAGGCTATATTATGCTCAATTTCCAAGAGTTTCTTTATATTGGCACCTGCTTCTGCCTTTACAACTTCAAAGTTGATTCTGCAAATTCAACAGAGACAGTAAATCGGACTGGGTGAAAACAATTAGCCCTTTTTGTTAAGGGATCAAAGCTCCTGCAATAACTGTTGTGGAGATGTAACTAGGAATACAAGATAGGAGAGAACCACCTGGGTCAACATGCCCACCCACTGCTATTGTAGGCAACTACACAATACAATCCCTTTCATAAACAACCAAGCTTCACTGTAAAACAAATGCATTGTTTACCTCCCCCTCCCTCGCATTAGTTCAATTAGAAGGCTATTTCAGAACCTCACTGGTATAATAGTTAGAGGCATTTTTCTGATTTCCAGTCTACAGGCCAAACTCATTGATCAAGTTGCTTAAATGACTTGATTATCATCACCACTAAAATTTCACTCCAGTACATATTGAATCGAAATTAGAAATTTAAAAAGTTCCTACCCTGCTATCTTTGCAACACAGTCAAGATCACTGGGAAGCTGGAGCAAGTCTGTGTGGTGTTTTTCAACTTCCTAAAATGTAAGCAAAAGATTGTTACTTTGCATAAGCAGTTTTATTGCCCAAATATACAAGGACATACACACACAAGCTTAAAAGTTTTAAAAAGTCAGGCTTGAGATGTTAACGTTTTGATCTCCCTGCTTACACGTATTGGGTAAATTTAACCCCTTATTAGCTTTCTCACAGTTGTACTCTGGAAAAGTGGTGCCTTGCTAGTGGGGCTCACGTAGGATAAAACACTACATCTAAAGGAATGCAAAACTCTAGAATTCTTGGTTCAGAGATGATACCTTTTATTAGATCAACTAAGAAATCACAAAAAAAAATCTTTTAATTTTTTTTGCAATTTCTTAGTTGGTCTAATAAAAAGGTATCATCTCTGAACCAAGAGTTCTGGAGTTGTGCATTTCTTTTGGTTTCAGACCAACACAGCTACCAAATACATCTCTGACACATCTAAAGGAAGCATTCTACCCTACTTTCTTAATATTACTTCTACACATTTGCAGTCTTTGGGCCCAAATCTTGTGCGGCGCTAAAATGCGCAAGGTCAAGTCAAGGGTTTGTATAAAAAGATGGTTCAGAGCTCTCGTATGCAATGCTCCGATTCCAGGCTCTTTTGCAGTTACTTTGTTAACACAGTACAACAGCAACTCAATGACTGTTTAATTTCCAGTGACCATAATGCCTAAAAAGGAGACAAAAACTAATATGGCATGGGAGCATGATCATACCGTCTCTCCAACCACAGCCCTTTTACTTTGCCTTACCAGTGCCAGGAGGTGGATTGCCAAAGCAGAGAGAGAGAAAACAAAACAAAGAACCCCCACAAACCAGTGGCGTACCATGGGTCTCTGGCACCCGGGGGCCAACGCTTGCATTTGCACTCCCCCGGGGATGACCTGAGCAGGGTGTGGGGGCCCCCACTCCCTTCCCATGGTACTTCCACAGGGAAATTAAACAGCATGGGATGGGTGGAGGCTGAAATAGGTAAAGGAACTTACAACCCGCTGGGCATGGGGCTGGGCGAACTACACAGCAAATGTGGGAGGCGCTGCAGCCTCTTTGCCTGGCTCTGAAGGGCCCAGCCAGCACCCTCCCTCCCCACTGGTGCCTGGGAACCATGTCCCCCTTTCACACCCCCATCGGTATGCCACTGCCCAAAACATCTTTTTCAAACTCAGTGCAGGATCACTTTTCATTATAGAGCAGTGGTTTCAACCTTTTTCACTTGCAGACCTCTAAAAAATGTTTTTAATTGAAGTGCAGACCCCTTTGGAAATTTTGAACAGAGGTGCAGACCCCGTTGAATTGCATGTGGGTATTTGCACACTTTTGATTGATCATAGTAATCTTTTACAGACTCTCAGGGTCCACCGTACACAGGTTGAAAACCACTGTTGTAGAGAGATTTCTCAGTGCTCCTGGTCAATATATAACCATAGGGCAGTGCTAAGCAAGGATCCATTTCAGTAATAGGCACACAGCATTCTTTGCATTTGGCAACCAACATTGGAAGACTTGTTCTAGCTTTGGGGCAGCATGAAATGAAGTGCAAAGGTTAGAGAAGTCACCAAAGAACTTTAAAGAAAAGGAAGAGGTCTATGATCTTTTTGAACAATACTGCATATAGGTATGACCCTGTTTGTGCTGAATTCAGTAGCAAAGTTCTCATCAGTTTCAATGGGCACAGGATCAAATCTTACACATTTAAATGGAGGTGCATTTGAAAGTAATGCACGTTAGCATTAATACATCAGGAAACAGCACATCTACAGCTGACTTCAACATAAAACTGCAGCAGTACCTCCAAAATATGGTGGAGTAGCGTAATAGAGTTTTGGTTTGCTTTGGTATCTGTTAATTTGAGCAAAGTGCTAATTTTAAAGCCACCAGCATCTCCAGTGTGTCGTCCCTAGAAGATGAAAAAAAATCCTAGTTTCATTTTAACAGAACAAAAAAAAAAGCTTTTACAATCCATTTTGTATTATTTTATACACACAAGAAATACTAGGCTACAATTATACTTCTATCTAAAAATATATTGCTTTAAGAATGCTTACTTACATAGTTGAGAAAGTTTCCAACTTTAAGAATCAGCCAACAGAAAATTGGCAGTCGACGACTAGTAAGAAGTGCTGAAAAATGAAAAGCAATCATTTAAATAAAATTAAACAGTTTGAAATTGGATTTACCTGAAATTTGAACCAAGATGGTACAAAGCTCTTATCTAGATAAATAGTTGGCATTTTTTTTTTATGGATTTCGAAACATGCCAGGTACAGGAGGTGTTCTGTGAATCTATGTCAGGGCAAAAAGGAAGAAGAATAAATAAGAAGTTGAATCAAAAAGACATAAGCAAGCTGATCTTGTTAAGTTTACAATCTATCCACACATTGAGTGATCACACCAGGGGGTCCTTTTGCCACGAGATGGTCTTGAGCAATATAACCTCAAGAAGGTCACCAAGATTTTTTTTGTTCTGTCCACGTTCCCTAAGGATTAGAAAAAGAGAAGGTCTGCACAAAAGTTGAGTCTACCTTATATTAAAAGCACCTAGATATGGAATTTGGAACATTTTCCTCCCTACTAGGAGAGACCTTTAGTAGGAGACAGCCAGCATCTCTAGCCTTTTAACCCACTGTTTTCTTTATCCATTCCTCATTCAGTCAGTCCATCTTAGAGCTACACTGCACACATTGCAGTCCCGTACTAAGCAGAAGTGGGAATCTGTGGCTCAACATCTACACAGGCTTCTTGTTCACATAATAAAGGACCCATCTTTTGATTCTAGCATATCACGCCATTATTTCAGTTCAAATAGAAGTGTATCTTCCTACAGTGTGGAGCACAAATCACTGATAACAACTTACTCTCACAGGCGATCCTGATCATTTGTGCTTTGGGCCGTAGCATATCCAAGAGAATTCTTGTCTCTTCACACAACAACATGCATTGAATCCGCAAACTGTAGCTAAAAGACAAAGTCAATGCAAAAAATGCAGCAGGATTAACTGAACCATGTCCAGGTTATTTCTGAATAGAGAAAGCAAAAGGGTTATTGTGTTCTATTTAATGCCCTCCCCTAAAGATATTTCTCTAACTAAATGGGACTCTAGATAAATCAAAGTCTTCTAGATACACTTCAAATAAATTCCCTATACAGAATTACAATATTTCTCCTAGAATGCCCATATAGGTCACATCACATTGTAGTCTATGCAATAAAACTACTGCCAATGATATGATGATATTATCCAACAACTGTACAGCCCTGGGTAGGTTTATTTTGTTCTTAATAAAGAAGCAGTTTTGGCAGCATGGACATCCTGAACTCTTGGTAGCAATCCATAGCAAAAACATAAAAATTCTAAACCAGCAAAGAAAACATTTTAAAAGGGTAATTTGAAAGCAATACAGTATATGCAATTTGAAGGAAATCACATTTTTACCTAACTTTACAAAAGGCTTTAAAAAAAACCCTCTTTCCAAGTGCAGGATCATTAAGCCGTCAGATTTCTTAGAGAACGGCTCTATGGTTTGCAGTGTGGCTATATTCCTGGTTCCTGTGAGGAGTGTGGAACTACTGTGTTTCTGCCGATTTGTCTCAGTAAGGCAAGAACAGCAGAAAAGATGGCCAGTACTGTATGGTGCGCACACAGACACAGTACATATTGCTAAGGGGTTGGATGATATGACCACCTCCAGCAACTAGTTTACCCAACAGTGGAGTCATCAAGCAGCCTTAAGGTCCATTCTGATGGTGCTTAGACATTCACATCAAGGCTGAAGTTAGTTAAGATTTCCCTTACCTAGGGACACTGAGGAGGAGGAGATAAAATTGATCTGCATTTGCTAGTTCTGATTTTGCTTTTTTGCAGGATTTCAGGCTCTCTATCTAACAAGGAACAAAACAGTTAGCACTGTCAATTAAATTTGGTCTGTAACACTCCCCCGCACCCCCTCCCACACACGAACTTAGCTTTTCAGAACCAATATGCCACCAATACTGTTGAAGTCTAGGTTCACAACACTTCTAAACCCAGGCATTTCCCCATTCTTCACCTGAAAACCCTCCTGAAAGTCTGCTTCCTCAGAGGGGACCGCAAGTAGCCACACACTTCAGTATGACATTGAATATGAAATATTACATCATCATCATCCATCATATTTACAAAGAGAATTAGGACCACCATACAAAACTGAGCCATAGCCATTTTCCAAACCTTTCAAAGGGATATTATCCAGTATTCGTTTCCTGGTCCCAGACCCTGCAATAGGATGAATGTGGGAAGGCTCACTTCCATTATAGTCTAGATGCTCACTGATTACAAAACACTTCGGCACAGGTGTCTACACAGTTGGATCCAGTAACTAGATCGGGCCCTTACAACATAAGTCCTGAGATAGCAGAGACTGTGCCTTTATCAGTACCCCTGTGCAATATTTTCAAATACTATCAGTACCTCATGCTTTTCAGGCAATAGTTTAATCAGCTGCTTCAGAGCTTCTGCATCAAACTTGGATGTGTCCCCTTTCTGAATCATGGTGACTATCTCTTCATTTGAGCTGAAGAAGACAGGCATGAGCTTAGAAGCAACAACATAATATAAGTAATATCTTGGACAGTGCAAACATAAAAGATCAAGCTCAGAATGAAACTTAGCCCGTTTTTCCCTACCTCACATACCCATCATTATTTCTATGATCCTAGGTTTGGCAAGAAAATAGTGTTTTTCTTTGCACCACTCTACCAATAAAATGGCAAGGTTTAAAAAAAAATTTAATGTAGTTTTCCTGTTATTTTTGTACTACATTCAGCCTCTGCAGTAGACTGAGGTGGCCTTATTTTTAGCCCTCATATCCATTATCACTGGGAAAGGGGAAAGATGCTCTCATACACACTTCTTTCAGTGAAGAAAAACCAAAAAAAAAATGCTCTGGAAGGAAAAAACCCAAACCATAGGGTTCTATGCTTAATGCCTTCTGACCTCATTTTCTACCCCAAACTTTGAGAAACAAGGTATATTTGGGATGAATTCTGCCTGCTCTAATTAGAGTCCTGTGAAGCCCAAGATGTTGCGTTAGTGTTGGTTGATCATGCCCTTCAGAGTGGAAAGTAGAGATCCTCATGCTCATATAACTCAAATGGCAGGAGAGGCTCAATTATCCTTGCACCACATCTAAGCCTCCATTCTGTTTTCAGGTGGACCTGTCCCCTACTTTAGGGACCAATAAAGGTGGAGGAAGCAGTTATACGTGGCTTACACATTATTGCTCCTCTCCTCCTACTCCCCTATTTCACATACAACACAGGGTTACAATGCACAAGATACATCAGCCCCAGGCTGACTTATCTTCTCTATAGAGCTGCCTTGGGGGTATGGTTTTCTCCACTTTAAGATACAGCCTGGAATAGCCAGGGCTAAGTGGGAGTCCACTGAAGTGCATCTCCATAGGGGTGACTTTATTCTATGGAGGAGAGGGAAGGAGCCCAAAATCCTTAAAGTGATAATTTAGGGATAGCCTCTATAAAAGAGGCTTTGTTGACTAGCTATATTCCACAGGTCAATAGTCTACTGTGTAACAGGTCCCCACCTTGTGAAAAACAAGTCTGTAAATTGAATTTTGGCTCTGAACTACTGGAAGTCTCTCTTTGGAATTTAATTACTACACACATTTAGACTTTCTAATTAGGATTTTCCAGTAATGTTTCATGTCATAAATTGATATTTATGTAAAAAATACCCAGCATATGTCCTGCTCTGAATGAGTCCTTTATTATTTGTGAAAATAGTCCTTCTTGAGCAGCGATTCATTCAGCCTTGGATCAAACAGAGTCCAAAAC